TGACAGAAAAAAAAAGATAAATTGGAAGAAGAAGAAGCAGAAGAAGAAAATGAACGGGGAAATTTCTAAGCAAAAAAAAGTGATGTTTTTTTTTCAAAGTATGTAAAGGATTATCTCTTCAAAAAAATAAAAATAAAAAAAGAACATTTTAAATTTTTTTCTGATGCAATTTGACGTTCTTTTCTGCACAATGCGTTCCATTTAATTTTGCAGCTTTTTATTCTAGTTTATTTTATTTTTTTTTTAATGTTTGACTGAAAAACGACAGAAAATTTGTAAGTTTTATTTATTTAATTTTTTTCTGTTTTTGTTTTGCTCAATTTTTATTAAAAACAAAAAAGGTTTTTTTAATGGCTTTTTTTTCTTTCACATTTCCATCGCTGTATTCAGATGTTCATAGATACTTTTTAACTTAATTTTTTGCTCATTTACATGTTTCTTCTTCTTCCCTCTTTTTTCATCCGACAATATTAAATATCAATATTAATTTTGCTTTTTTGTAGACAAAAAAGTATAAAACTATAGGGTGAAGCAATAATGGCAAAGGAAGTTGGTTATTTGTATGGATTTTTTTCTGACGTATCATTATAGATGGCTGTTGGGTAATCAGTTTTGTCGTAAGTAAAGCTGAAGAAAAAACTAGTGAACGCTTTGGTTCCTGTGCTCCTCAAAAACCCCATCACCATTGAACCAATATTCCGTTGGGAATACCGTGATTCCTGGTCGGTTTCCAATCAGTTTCGTGGTGCCATCGCTCCAGGCTGTTAATACTGCTCCAATCGGGAGCAATGTGTCGCCACATTGAGTTCCTTGCTGCTAACGGGTACGGTGTTATTCTTCTGGTATCTGTGGTCTTTACTGTGTAGTGAGGCAGAATAATGAAAAAGAAACGAACCGACAATGGCCGGAAATATCGGCAACAGAAAAGAGACAATTTGGGCGAACTTAAGAAACGAAGAAGATGGACCTGTCGGATTTCTTTTTTTTTCTCGCTCTTCAATTTACTAAGAGATGTAAACAATAAGAAAAAAAATGATGTCTGGAAAATGTCTAGTTATCTTGTTGTGGCTGTGTTCGTCGTTATTAAGGCTGTTATTTATTTGGCTCCTTAAAAAATCGGTTGATAAAGGCTAGGCACTTTTTGGTAAACAGAAGGAGAAAAAAGAAGACGTTTAAGGTGTTTGACGTGACATTTTGACTACTACATCAGGAAAAACATAATATATTGACTGGTGACAGAGTTTTTTAGTAAAAAGAGGAAACTTTTTTGGGTCTTGATTTTGTATTAATAATTCAGAAATAAAGCAAAAAAAAGTGTAGTTTCTGTTTTCTTCTTATCAGTTTTATAAATTAAAGATGCTTTATCGTTGTTTTTTTTTTTTGTATGCGTTTTTTTTCTTTGTTCTTAAAAGGATTTTTGTTGCTGCTGTTATTGCTACTGAAGTGGCATTTAAAAAAATGCTCTTGACTTATTAACTTTTAAATTTTAATTCAAAAGATGTTTTTAAGTTGTTGCAGGTGGCTTCAAAATGAATTTAAACACCTTTTTTCTATTGCCGTCACTGTTGACGTTATTGTAGCCGTCGTTGTGTTGTTGAACATTTTGACAGGCATCAAACTCATTGTTTCATAGTGTCATTGCTTTGGTTTTTGTGCAAAAATCTTTTGGTACATTTTTTAATTGAAAGGGATGAGGACGAACGGGAATAATAAGCTATTTTTAGTGTATTTTTTCCGCCTACTTATAAAAAAAGGCAAAAAAAGTTATCTTTGCTTTTGTATCATCTTTTTTTCTTTTTTCTCTCTGCACTCAACTTAGTCTGGACTAATTGTAGTACTTGTTTATTTTTTTTAGAGCCAAAACTGCAGTCTTGCAGCTAAACAAATTATTTTTTCTGACATTGGAATTTCTCTCCAATCCTTTAGTCATTTCTATGTGCTCGTTTTGTCTTTGCCGTAACAGTGTATGCGCAATAATATTATGCTGTTATTAGCTAAATCCATCATATAGCAAAGTTTATGGTAGTGGTTTTCTTTGCTAACATTCTGCTTTAAATTCTTTAGTTTTTATTTTCGTTTCTTTATTTAATTTTTTGTTTAGTGTTCACCAAAAGTATCACTCGACTGATTAGAACACTAAATCACTTGATAGATTAGAACAGTCCAGCACGCCATTCTGGGATCTATTAAGACTTTATTTGTCTAAAACTCAAAATATTTGGCGTACCATTTAATATTTGTTTAGATAATGTTTCGATTCTAAATGATGTGTAATCACGAACACTCAGAGAATCTGGCAAG